TGTGTGGGGGAGGAGATTCCATCTTGTGATGCTGTCCTGGAAGACTAATGGAAATAGAGTTACCGGTAAGTCCTAACTCTGAATTTTTTTGCTGTTCCCCCACCAAAAAAAAAAGTTTTTTGGTTTCATGGGTATTATTCCCAGTTTTCAAGACACTACCTAATGCACTGATTTGTCTGACCAATTTTCTTTTATTGAGGTTATTGAATATCAGTACAACAGGCTGCTTTATAAACAATTACTGTCAGAGGTTCACAGAAAATATAACTGCCAGTGTAGTAAAGAATCATGTTGGATGCAATGGACCACCATCAATGATGTCATTTGTGAATAGCTGGACATGTTTTCCCAAATCTGTGCTTGGCAGACTCTTTTTACACTGCATGGAATACAATTTGTTTTTGTTAAGATAAAGCCTTACTTACATTATCGCCGCATGGCAGGTTCATTCTGAGCTCTTGAGTGCATGCAAATGTACCTTAATCTCATTCCTTTTTCTTTTTCTTTATTGGATAGTAAGATTTAACATGCTGGACCTTCATACATCCAGTTTCCTGCTATGTTCTATTTTATTTGTGTTTTATTGTACACCCTACTTAAAGGGTATATAGTAAACAAATAACAAATTGCAAGGTAAAGGGCACATGGGCACATTAAATACAGTAGATACGGAAAATAAATTGTATTGATGGTGGAGATGTCATTGAAATGCTGCAGATTTCTTTCATGTAGTGTGGAGTTGACCAAGAAAAGTTTGCTTTTGGGAGAATATAACCAAGTGCATTTCACAAGCTATGGTGTTGATGCATGAAAACTGCGTATACAGGAAAATGTCTTGTTGCCTGTAGAAAAGAGTCATTATTTTTTTTTTGTCTTGGACTGCATAAGATCTACGAATAGCCCTTGGTTTTTGCCGGTTCCATTTGCTCCATTTTAAAATAGCACTCTTGTGACCACCATTGAAACCTCTGCAGAGTCAGTGCTGCCTATTGTATCCTTCCTCTGCAGACCTCAGCCGTGGAAGGATACAAAGGGGACCTCTCTACAACTCCAAATTGTATAGCTGTAAATGTAAAGAGATTGTAAAATCAGACATGTGACCAGCTTAAGATGATTAAAGACGTATGTGCCCATATATTGCCTTTACGTTCCCTGGGCAGCCAGAAAAAAAAACAGACTCTCCTTTATCACTTCAAATACACAGCAGGAGCATGACACAAGACCTTGTGTTATTGGAGTCTTGCACATAAGTCTTGTAAATATTACATAGCAAATGAACAGGAATCACTAGCACTCAGTGGAAAATGTTCAAATGATAGTCCATTTAATCGGACATGTCGCAATAACCGACGTTTCGGGGCCACGCAGGGACCCTTCATCAGGGTAACAATGTAACCCTGATGAAGGGTCTCTGCGTGTGCCCCCAAAACGTTGGTTATTGCGACATGTATGATGACTTGTCCGATTAAGTGGAAAAACTTTGTTGAAATACATAAAGTTATGACATTCTGTGTGTGTTTTTTTTCCCTTTGTGGTGGGGGTTGATTGATGGTCTAACTGTTGGCTTTAATCGCTACATTTTACACACGTGAAATATGTTTATATGACAATTGTGGAAGACTATGTTAAGGGGTGGCTAAGAAGTCCGCTTATGAGTGTGCATATTACATGCAGCGTGGGCAGCTATTAGTAGTTTGACAAGGATAGATTTGAGCAAAAAAGGATTTTCACATATTCTCATAAACGGCTATGTTTGCAACCTCTGTATCACCATGTAGTTCAGAAAGAACACTATAACTATAACACAGTGACATTCCAAATCCTACATGTTTTTGGTTAGCAGTTCTCACTTTTGCAGACCCAACAGATGTCCACACTGCCTTTTTCCTGCTTAGTCCTAGACAAAGGAGTGGCTTTTTTTGCAGGGAATATGTAAAGTCCTTGTTTTTTTCTGCCTGGCGTTACATTTAGATTGTTAGAATTAATTCATCCTCTGTTGAAAACTAAAAAGAGGGTTTAAGTAAGGTTGTTTTTACAAAGTGAATATTTGCTATTTTAACATATGTGCTAATATCTGATATTAACTGAACTTCATACATTTAAATGCTGGCACTGCACTGAATATTATAACAGCAAAGTGTTTATAAATGTGCTGTATAAATTGAGTAAAGTTTGATAGCTTTGTACAAGGGAGCCATCTACTGTTCACACAAATAATTGCTACAATCTTTATATGTGGTCACAAGTAATTGGCTGGCTCAGTTTTATTCTAAAGGCTAAATGAAAAAATAAATAAATAAAAAAGAAAAGGGTATGTAAACTCAAAAGCAAAATTGTAATATATTGCAACTTACCAATCCTTTTTTTAGGCCTTTTTCCTTTATTTTCACTTACTGATACCTTTTTTTGTTTTTTAGTATCGTGTGAGTTTTTCTAAAACAATACAGACTAATGATTTTAGGACAGTGGTGAAGTGCCAGGGCCCGGTCGCAGCTGCAACAGCTGCAACCCTAGTAGTTCTGCTACTGACTCCAAGTTGTAGAGGGACTACAAATCTCAGCAATGCATAATACCAATAGCTACAGAGGACTACAAATTCCAGCAATACATTATACAGCATTGCAGAATAATATGAAGCTACATACTCTGTGTTGCTCCAGGGTGGCAGCCTGATGTCTCCATGGTCCCAGGAGGGCTGTGCGGGGTCCCAGGAGGGCTGTGGGGAGTCTCAAGTGGGCTGTGCGGGGGTCTCACCAGGAGTCCGGAGGGTCTTATGGGCGACTGCAGGTGGCAGAAGCAGTGTGGTTCACCAGTAAGGAGGAGATGTGCGGACTGGTGCTGTAAACAGGCACCATGGTTCACATGAAGGCTGCAGAGGTCCCCAACAAGAGAGGTACCTCAGGCAGCTGCATCAGTTTCAAAATGCTAAGAGCTGGTGTCAGCATTTAGTATCGGGATATTTGTACGAGTACTCATGAAAATGTCCAGTATTAGCACTGATATTGGTACTGGTGCATCCCTACTTTTCAGCTTCCCTTAAGAGAGCAAGCTGTACAGCAAAAGTGACAGAGGGTTGAGACAAAGCATTTAGCACTGACAGGGGTGTTTACAATGGTTAGTGGTTATTCATTTATTTAAAACCTTTATCACAAAAGAAAAAAAAAAGCTGGAATTTGTTAGTCAAGTCTATCTAAAATTGCTAGTGCATCTAACACTACTCTCTCCACAGGTTGACAAAGCTGCTGTCCAAGGGTGGCTTCATTGCTTCTCCGTAGAGTGAAGCCACCCTAAGACAGTGTGTTTTTGCCATATATATATTTTTTTGGGGGGTTTAGAATTCTTGGGAGTTAAGGTTACTGCATAAGTTGAATGTCTCTTGCCCTGTCTAGCAAATTGTACGTCTCCTCCCCCCTTCAGTTCCTACAGCCTTAGAAAAGCAAATCCAACAAGCAGATTTAAAAATTTGCTCTGAACTGTAAGTTCCTCCTAAAAGTACTACTTCATGTTTAATTGAGAACTGGTATATTGAATCATCTTTTTTCTTCTATCACAGAAACTCTAGTGATGAGATTTTTTATCATCGGGTTGTATTTCTGCTTGGTATCATGCAGGCCATGATGTGTGTTACTATCCTATAGCCTGAATATTTGTTTTACATTGAGAACAATGCTATCATGTGTAATGGCTGTAGAAGTTATGGGTAGCTGCGGTTTCAGGTTATTTCTTGTTGAAGTGCCCAGTCTAAAAAAAAAAGAAGCTATTTTAGGTTTCTACTACCAAAATAAAAGTATCTGTGTTGGGTGAAGTTGGCCATTTAAGTTCAACTCTGGACAACATTTAAAAATGACATGTCTAGTACAGTCTGCCCCTGTCATTAACACTGTAGTTTGTTTTTGAGTCCTCCAATAACATAGTTTTACATTAGCTCAGTTATCTGGCACCCATGGGGATCAGGAGGTGCCAGATATCTGTAATTTCTGGTTGCTTAAGAGGTAATAGTAACTCTCAAGTAACCACCAAATCAAACTGCAATAGTAGGTTGGCTATTGAAACCCTGCACACTGAGCAGAGGAATGGACCTGACAGAGAAAGTTTTCTGCTCTGTGGGTGGGTGCAATAGCCAGCCTGCTATTGGTTATTTCAAATTGCAATAGCTAATAGCAGGCTGTCAATTGAAAATTACGCCCACTGAGCAGAGGAGCGAGCCTGAGAGAGAAAGTTCTCTCTCAGGTCTGCTCGTCCACTTAGTGGGCGGGCACAATAGCCAGTCTGCTATTGGCTATTACAATTTGAAATAGCCAATAGCAGGCTGGCTATTGCTCCCCATTGTTTACATTCTGCTGCTGACTGCGGAATCTGAGCTGCGACACATTGAATGGAATTTATCAAAAGTGGAGCAGACATAATCTGGAGCAGTAGCCCATGGCAACTAATCAGCCTCTCTGTTTCATATTCAAATCTTGACTGAACGCACTGAAGAGAGAACCGGATTGGATGCCCTGGACAACTGCTCCAGATTCTCTCTGTTCCAGTGTTGATAAATTCACCCCCACCATTATATATATTTGTTCCAGAGTTTAGAAACACCTAAAATGATATAAATAAATGCGGATCATTGTAAGCAGCCCTCACAGTGTAATATGGTTTGTTCCAACCCCTGTAACTGAACCTATTGCTGGAAAGCTTGGTTTATAAAATGAAGTAGAAAAATCCCAAATCTACTGCCAGGATAAATGGGCAATAAAACTGACAGAGTGACTAAAAAAAACCTGCTGTAATAATTCTAGTGACAGACTGCATGTCTTGTGTAATTTTTTCTTATTTTGCCCATAGTTCCACTGTTCAGCTGTTTTTGATGATACACTTTTGTATAACTAATGCCCCTGCTCTAGCAGCCTAGGCACAAAGGGCCATTTTCAGAATAACAATATCTTTGTGTGACACTGAAAAAAATTTTTTATAACTATAGATTTAAGAGTATTTCTTTTCTTGCTTTACAGATTTCCAGGAACCTTATGCTGTAGTTGTACTTCTGGAACAAGATTTAGTGGTTATAGATCTTGCACAAACTGGGTAAGACGTGGTTATGCACAATCACATGCGTACATGCTTTAATATATATATAAACACATACTTACAAAAAATGTGATAGGAAATGCATATCAATAGCTTACACAGTGCCTTCAACTCAATTAGGATTTAAAATAGTGATTGTGGCTCTGTCTGCCTGACCAAGCCCCATTCTTTATGCTACTGCAGGAGAGGCTCACTCCTCCTTCCTCACTCTTGTTTCTTTTATTGGTAAATATATTACTATGCAAGAAAAACATGCACCCACCGTAACCGATGCGGCAGGTGGACGGACCTTGGGATTCAAGTTCAAATGTATAGGCACCACAACCTCATAGAGATTTTAAAAGTCGGTGAATTAATCAACTCACCTGTCTGTCCAAAACAGTATAGGGTGAGGTGAACCATTACTGCATCTTGAGCCTCCCAATTGGTCAGTGAAGCCACCCATTACCAAAGGACCATTAGGAAGGCACAGGGACAGGGCCGGACTGGAAAAGTTCATTTCTGCATATAAATTCAGTTACCTGTATCTCTGGAGTTAGTTTACATTTTTAAGCATTCAGTTTGAATTGCCCAGGCTTGTGACAGCATTATATAAGTGTATATATAGCTGCTAATTATTTTTACTTTACTTTTTACTGCAGATATCCTATATTTGAAAACCCTTATCCACTGAACATTCATGAGTCACCTGTAACGTGCTGTGAGTACTTTGCAGACTGCCCCGCAGACCTTATCCCTGCACTTTATTATGCTGGGGGCCGGCAAAAACGAAAGGGTTACAGTAGAAAGGTATGCAACAAATCTGGCAATTTATATTGTTTTTGCACTCAGTGACTGGTAATTTACATGAACTGTTATTTATTACAGGAATGGCCTATCAATGGTGGTAACTGGGGCATTGGCGCACAAAGTTATCCAGAGATAATAATCACAGGGTATGTTGTAAACTAACTAATATAATTTGTGGTTTTGTACTTTTGCAAAATCTTTATTTGCTCAGATGTGACATACTTACGACCAGTTTTCAATAACTACCCAATGTTAACTTAATCCATAATCCACAAGAACATTGTATGGCAGGGGGAGAGTTGTTTTTGTAAGTAAAACGTGTCAGCAGGTGGAGCTCAGGTAAATGATCTCATACTAAATAAAGTTTTTTGCCATGAGAAGAGTTCTTGGTCTAATTCCTCTTAATATATGTCGTAAACAGGGCTGGGAAAAGCTGTGACGAGACCTGGCAGTGTGCTAATGATATTCCCCTAGGAGTGGAACAATGGGTACTTGCATGGAACAACTCCTGTTGTACATTCCTACAGATCCTTTGCCCCATGTTCTTGATTTAACAAAAGAAGAACCATCTAAAACAGCTTGTTGCCCATTTTTTAACTGTCACATTATGCCCTTTAGCTCTAAATTGAAAACGCCTCGCCATGTAAATAGTTCTCTAAATTGTATCAGATAGCTAAACCCTAACAGCATGGGGATCTGTATACATCCCAAACCAGCCCTGATTTCCACCACTAGGGTTAGACTAGGAGAATATAGGCCTTAGATGGTTTCTAAGGCCTATATTCTCCTAGTCTAACCCTAGTCCCTTCTGTGCCTCACTGTGTCCTGGCTTTCCTCTTTTACTTCCCTTTTATATTTCTTCTTCCATTGAGGGGCACAGGAATTCTCGAGCCACCAGCAGGAAGTTTGGACAGTGGCAAACAGGAAAACTTTGAAGGGCAACCCTCATATAATCTCACCTCAAACTATCATGCCTTTGCTAGAGTCCTAGAAGGTTGTATGTCTTTAGCTCCGCTTTGCTGAAAAAATCAAGCTATTGTTTTTTATCTTTTTTCTTTAATCCTTGATCCACCCCTGATATATTTTTTTGGGTGACTTCATTCAGGACTTCTACAATGCTGCTTGAGTTGGTCTGTACATAGCAGGTATCTTGGATCGATGTATCCTCAGCATCAGCTTTGGAGATCATACCTGGAGCCCTCTGGAAGGAAAGATTGCATAGCTAACCTGGAATGTGACCTATGGGCACTTGGCTTATATTGTGGCACTTTCAAGAATTGAGTGCATTAGTAAGGTTAGCTGCAGAGCACTTTTCGCGTCCAGAGCTGTGGCACAGCCTTAGTTGACCCTGTCTCTGAAGGCTCACTCTGTGAGTGGGCCTGTGGACTTGGCAAGGCTAGCCATGAGTGTGACCTGCAGGCTTTGGGCTCTACACTATGAGCCTGTCTCTGACTGCTCAACTAGTGAGTAATGCCAGTCCTGCTGAAGCATCAGGAGCAATCTCGCAATCCATTTCATTGGGCGCCATTTCTAAGTTCTCATCCCCAGTGTTTTAACTGCAGTAAGGATTAAAGGCTTAGTTCACATTTGGGACCATATTTCATGTTCTACCCATTTTTAAGGTGTGACATGGTAACATTTCCCAATCCCCCACACGCATACCGCCACCCCACTTATTTGAAGGGCAGATTGGTTCTCCCTGAAGTTTTCTGTCTGTATTTGAATTTGGTGCAGCTGTGCATGTCTCTCCCCCCACAGCCACGTCATCCCATTCACAGATCTATTTACAGAGAGTTGTGAATCTGCCACTGCAGCATAGGGATTCGTAGATCTCAAAGATGGTGACATTACTGCACTTGTAATCCATTGTTTACTTCCTCTAGCCACACAACAGTAGCTGGGATTGTGATGTAAACATTTAGGTGCTAATGCATTGCACCCACAAGGCACTAATCATGATTACAGTGCTATGCAGGTCTGAATGCAAAAAAAAAAAAAATTCACTTTTTTTTAAATTAATGTGTGCGTTTTGTTTTTTCATAAAGTGAACTATGCTTCTTAGGCTCAGGGATTGAACGCTGATGTCATCTGCTAGTCATTCAGACAAAAGTAAATGCCAACTCAAGGCAGCTCCTGCAGCTCCAAGTGGATCTCGGGTTCCCTTCCACTGCCCACCTACAGTGACTTGGTCACCTCAGGCTGCCTGGAACCCTCATCAGCACCTGTTGATGGGGGTTCCAAACTTGGGTTTGCGAGTACTTGAGGCCTTGCTTCACATTGGGCCTAGTTGCTTAGCTTCATTTTGTGTAGCATGGCTTCTCAAAGACACTACTGATGCTGACCCCAGCCCATACTCTCATATAGGTTCCAATGGCCTTTATCCAGTATCGCTAGGTAGAATATGTATATGTATATATATTTTGTTAGTCCAATAAGAAAGGTATCATTGCACACTGCAATACTGCGTTTTTGTCTTTTTTGACATATATATATATATAATTAGGGATGCACCGATCCCGATGCTAGTATCAGTGCCGATAGAGTACTTCAGCGAGTAGTTGTACTTGCCCAAATGCTCTGATACCGGAACTTCTGGTCAGAGTGAGATGTTAGGGAACATGGTGATTCTGATTGGCCCGGGAAGCCAATTTCCCAGCCAATAGGCGTCGAGCCAGCCAAACAGATCTGATAATATGGTGACACAAACTCCGTCCTGCAGACACCTCATTCCCCTCACATCACACCCATATGCATCCTCAGGAGCAGTCATCTCTGTACCACAGTTGTCCCATGGCCAGCCAGGCAGACACCACTCTTCAAACTCCTTTACCCCTTCTGGATCTGCCCACGTCTCAGTGTCAGAAGATGCTCAAATGCCGCTCGACTCCGGTGTGTGTACAGCACCCGCACCGCCTGCATGATCGGTGGTATAATAACAATACTGTTAGAGGATTTCTGAGTGAGAGCGCTGGGCAGGCTGCGCATGCACAGTAGCAGGCTGAGGGCTGATCACGCAGGCGGTGCGGGCGCTGTACACACACCGGAGTCAAGCGGCGTTTGTACATCTCACGAGACTGAGACGCGGCCAGATCTGGGAGAGGTAAATCGGCTTGTAGAGCGTTGTCTGCCCAGCTGGCCGAGGGACATGTGTGGTACAGTAATGACTGCTCCCGAGGATGGATATGGGTGTGAGGAGAATGGGGTGTCTGAAGGATTGAGACTGTGTCACCATATCAGATCTGATTGGCTGGCTCAATGCTGATTGGCTGGGCGTCTGTTCGCACACCCGGTTGGGTTAAAGGGAGGCTAGTCTTCAATTGTTTTTTCTATGTTTGTCAGTGTCCAAACCTTCTTTAGTCCGCATCAAAATTCCTGTGTCCCTCAATGGACTTTAAGATTACAGTAAGAACAAAAATCTTATTTTCTCTTCAAATTATAAAAATTTGGAATGAACACACAAAGATCAGTCGTAACAGGAACAACATGGCTAACCACAACAACAGGGTAGAAAACTACAAAAGTATATCACTGACTTATGAGCAGAATATTCATTGTTCATAATACTGAAAAGAATAGACTGAGGTACTTGGTCTTACTCCCATCAGTAGTTCAATGCAACTCAGCTTTCACTTGGGAACAATTCATATTTGATCATTTTTTTCATGATGATTTCTTGCTGCTAATAAATAATTTTGTTAATGTATTTCTTTATTACAGTCATGCAGATGGATCGATCAAATTTTGGGATGCTTCAGCAAGTATGTTATTTCAGTTCTTGAATTGGTAACCAACTAACATTACATGTTGCAGCCAATTGACTATCAGGGTTATTCATAAAAGGGTGAAGAGTTTGGAGAAGGCAAGAGAAGTGAACAATCTAGGCCAAAATAGCTGCTTTGGAAATATACTCCAATTCAGCTCACTTTCCAATTCAGCTATGTTGGCCTAGATTGTTCACTTCTCCCGCCTTCTCCAAACTCATCACCTTTTTGTGAATAACCCTGTATATGTCACGAGTATGGAAAGGGTAGAAAAGTCCCTGAGAGGGACACAGGCAGCAATAAACATACTTGTTTGTAGTAGAGTAGGGAAAAATTAGTTCCCCCATCAGTTTTTTAATTGTTCTGTGTGTGTCCATAAATATTGTTTCCTCACTTCCTGTCCAAGTGACATTGTTGTCATTAGAACAGGTAGGATGACGAGAAGTCTTTCTACCACGACCTTAGCAATAAAAATCCGACAGAGTTTCTAGCCATTCTGCTCTTTAATATATAAAAAAAAAAGTTTTGTTTAGAGATGGTCTTTAATTGTGTTTCTGTTTTGTAGACTTGAATTATTTTGCTCATTATCAGCTTTGCTTTGTTGTTCTCCTAATCTCAGTGATTGTCTATGGGCAGAGCACCATCAAATATATGTTTACTGGAAGTGGTTGCATCACTTGTAGTTGTATCAATAATTGTGATCTGGTTACACATAAAAGGTCTAATATATCAATGTGTGCTTACTGAGAACTGGCATTATTCTAGGTAATTCTGATGCTGATTGCTGGCTAAGGAGGAGTAACTCTAATGAACACATCGATAAATTATACCCATAGTCTAAAACAAAATGCTCTCATACAATATCTTGAAAAAATGCTTGTTCAGAGTACACAATAATTTATTTGTATCTGTGCCCAGACTATTGATATAAAAGTATTTACATGTTCTTGATGTTCTTGACGTGCAGTAAAATAGGTTTAAGGCCCCTTTCACATGGCCACTCTAATCGGGTCCACCTGTCAGTTTTTTAGGTGGACCACATCGGATGCCCAATGCAAGTCTATAGGCAGCCGTGTGTAAACTTCCGTTTACACACGGTTAGAGGTTTACACAAGGTTACCCCTGCCTCCAGTGAAACAAACGGAACAGCGTTCCGTTTCACCGAACCAGATTGCCTGTTTACACCGATTCCCCATAGACTGGCACTTTTTCTTCAGTTCAGTTCCATTAACATCTGGTTTTCATCCACTGACATACTTAGGCCCCTTTCACATGGCTGATCAGAAGAGGATCCGTGATCAGTTTTTCGGGCGGACCTGATTAGATGCCCCATGTTAGTCTATGGGCAGCGGTGTGTAAACAGACAGGTGACTATTTACACCCGGTTGCCCCGACTTCGGCCAGGTCCGGAAAAAGAAAGATCTGTTTTACCAGACCTAATTGCACTGGATAGGGGGTAATCTGATGTAAACGGACACATGTTCACTTACATCCAATTCCCCATGGACAGACATGGGGTCGGCAGTTTCAGTTCTTTCCTCCATCGCAAGGTGAAGGAAAAAACTGTACGTACAAGGATGTCACAGTGGTGACATCCACTCTGTACTGCTGTGACCAGGAGGGGATCAGGAGGGAAGTCCCTCCTGATCAGTCCATGTAAAAGGGTCCTTTGGGTTCACAGCCTGGAACACTTCCTGCCACAGCCGCTCTTCCTCCCGCCCTGCAGGAGGTGCCCCACAGGCTTGGACTGTAATGGACCAAATAAATAAGTGACCCATGAGATACTTCTGTGGCCATGGATGGATGTAAAGAACATCCCCTGCATGCCATTTTTATTATAATCAAAACGGACGTTAACCGAATGGGCATAAACTGACCATGTCAGTTTACATCTGCCTTGGCCCACAAGAACTGAAAAGGGTGCAAACCTTTTCCATTTTCTTTTAATGGACCTAGATGGACTCAAATTTAAGCAAATTGTAAATTGAGCACATTGTAAATGTACGCACATCCGTTTACATCTGCTCGCCCCTAAGGCATACATTATGCATCAGTCTGGATCCTCTGCTGCTGTAGAAAATAGGTGAAGAGGAACTGAGATGTCAGTACCTCCTGTGAAATTTGAAGATACATTTCCTCGGATCGCCTATAGCTACAGAGGTCAGTGAGGGCTTGTTTAACCCCTTCGTGACTGACCTGTCGCCAGATCGCTTCTGTGTCCCGAAGAAGGGGCCGCCCCCCCCCCCCCCGCACACCAACATATGTGATATAAATATGTAGCCCTATCTGTCCTCTAAAAAACAATATATAATATGTGTGGGTGCACTTTGTAAGAAAGTATATTACTGACGTGGAAGAATCACACAGCAAAGATGTCAAAAGTGTGTCAGTCATTTACAAACAGAAACTAAAAACAAGCTCAGTCATGAAGGGGTTAATGTAGATTTCCTTATTCAATAGTGCACAAGTGTTTCAATTTCCATAAAGTAGGAGTGGAATTACCCGCTCAGACCTTCCCTCATCAACTATTTGAAATCCACTCAAGTATGCCTTTTTGTCTTTTTCTAGTAAACTTGCAAATGCTGTACAAATTAAAGACAGCAAAAGTGTTTGAGAAATCGCGAAACAAAGAGGACAAGGCCAACACGGACATTGTAGATGAAGATCCCTATGCCATCCAGATGATTTCCTGCTGCCCTGAAAGCAGGATACTATGTGTGGCAGGTGTTTCAGCCCATGTTATCATCTATAGGTTCAGCAAACAGGAAGTGACAACAGAGGTCATACCGGTAAATGTCATCCTTTGGTTTACCTCCTTTTTCTTGTGGAAACTTTAAGCAATTCTATGCCATCTAAACTAAGAATGCAAAACTCTGCAACTAAATGTAATATTTACATACAAAGAAATATGATCGTGTTCAACACAAGTCTCTTTGTAACTTGTAACTTCACCCAATATAAAGGTAGCATGTTGCTAGGATTTGCTAATTGTGTTGCTCCTATGCTAGCAAATGTACTTCACCACTGAGTTCAGGGCCACTAACCTTAAAATACAAGATCATTTAAGCAAAAGGTAATAAATATATACTGAGGATACTTTTGTAAAGCTGCCTGAATTATGAAATTACTACTCTATCAGATGTATGCAGAAAAGGACCCATTACAGATTGCATCTGTTATCAGTACCAAAGATCACCTAGTCACCAACTTTCATATATATATTTTGTTATGCATTGTTAGGTTGCAGGTAAAACTTGCTAGCCACTGAAATTACCAGCATTAAAGAGTTTGTACTGTATTTCTGAATAAAATTATGCTGACTATAGGCAAGGTACACATATTTCTCTATACTGTGATTTAAAGACATACTCATCTCAACAGTGTTTCTTAAAGACCAAATCTGGGCAGATAGTGCTTTACTTAGGGGATCCAGTTTTTTGACATTGCATGACAGAAAAGTAATAATGTAATTTCTTACAACCTTACTATCATTCTAAATGGCTTTCTAGCTTAAAGATATTGTCTTTTGTGGGGTTTTTTTGTAATGCAGCTATTTTGTATCTCGTGTTTAACATGTAGATGCTGGAAGTGCGATTGCTGTATGAAATCAATGACCTAGAGTCTCCAGATATAGAACAAGTGCCAACACCCAGTGGAGGACACAACCCCCAGCCCATTGTTCTCCAATCTCACCCATCCACAAGTAGTAGTTCTTCTGATGGTATCCGTGACAATGTACCTTGTTTAAAGTAAGTCCTTTAATTAGTCTTATTTCTTTCCTAATATACAGCACATTTCACCTTTTTGACGACCCTAGTATTTTGTGTTTTTTTCAGAGCAAAGAATTTTGCTTATTGGTTTGGGAGTCTTGTAGTTGTATAAGCAATTGTTTCTGATTCATATTTCAGAGTTAAAAGCACTCCTTTAAAGCAGTCATCTGGCTATCAAGTAGAACTGGTGATACAACTTGTGTGGGTCAGCGGGGAACCTCCTCAGCAAATAACAAGCCTGGCTGTTAACTCCTCCTATGGCCTGTAAGTCTTATGTGTGTCTTTTTTTTCCAAGGTGTGAGTCATTTTCCTCTATTACAACAGATTAAAATATCCATCACAATTGCTAAATTGTCCACCAACTGTGTAACTACTGGATTCTTGGATACGTAATTGGAGTTTATTATAGTTTTAGCTTACAGTCAGTGATGCATCGATTATACAGTAAAAAAAAAAAGTTACAAATAATTGCAAAATTTGTCAGGCTAGAAATGTTAGCCTAGTGTTTCTTGTTCTCTAGCACAGAGAGTGCACAGATTTTATTGTGTTGCCATAGATTGCCTAAGGGTAGGCAGATGAACTGAACATGCATGTTGGTTAGGAATAAAATCTTACAATGGTCTAGTGTTGGCAAAAGATCAAAATATTGTGCATGGCCACCTTTAATAGATGGCCAACTTGCTCTATAATAATTGGGAAGAGTTGAGAGAGTGGGTATCATTGGCTGCTTCCCTGAGGGGAAATTGGTTAACATCTAAGTTCTTTTTTGTACGTTAAGCTCCCCAAAAAACAAGCTTAATGCCACTCACTTGCTTTGTGGGAAACCAACATCCTTGACACTTCTAGGATTTGTTTGGGAAGTTGTAAACTTAGGTTGTGCAAAATTTCCCGGCAATTGATTGAGGTTTAGGCACCTTTTCTCTCCCGTTCATTGAAGGACACAGGCAACAGATCGTAGATCCTGAATGGAAGGGTCATATCGCCACCTGCAGGAGAAGGACGCTAGGCACAAAACTAAAGACCAATTACAGCCTAGGGGCGGCCCCTGCCGGTGGCCAAACCAATTTGCCACTCATCCGTGCGTCCCTCCGGTTCTTCAGGGGGGGTGGGTGGTACCGCGGTACCGCATTGTCCCTGGAATATTTTTCCTCTGTCATGGATGGGTTTGTGACGCGCATGGTGCGCACCTTGATGCAGCGCCCACCTAGGCAGCGGGTTCTGCCCTTGCCATCCCCTGCCTTGTCACGGGAGTCCGATGAGGGGGGGGGACTCCCCATGTCGTCACCTCATCCTGATCCGGGTGATTCCTCACAGCCTGATTCGCCAAGTGAGGATGAGGCTGCGTCTACGCTCCTGGTCCAGGAACGTGAATTGGTCTCGGCGCTGGTCCGCGCTGTCAGGGGGACCCTTAAAATGGAGACATCTTCTGGCGTCACGGTTCAAGCGCAAGGTGGACAGGTTTGTGACCAAGGCCCTGGATCCCTGGGCGGGGGCCGTGGGTGCCCTGGTGGCCCCTTGGGGTCCTTACGGTCTGATTTACACCTTTCTTCCACTATATCTGTTGCCTCGGCTGCTGCGTCGGATCGCGGAAATCCTCATGTCTTCTCATGCTGGGGGAGAACTTCCCTTTTCAGCTCAGGGCCTCTTCCTGTAGTGCTGGCTCAGGTTACAAGCCTATACAAACCTATACACAGACACCGTGTAAGGTGTCTGTGTATAAGGCACACATTACAGTATTGTTTTATGTTAAAAAATCTGAGGGTTTAATGTCACTTTAAGCCATTTTCACATTAAATGTTTTAGGATGTCCTTGCAGCTAAACATAACAAAGGGGTATACTTGAATGTCCATAGCCTGGCCACCAGTTCACATAGGTACTGGCATTTAGATACTAAATGCCAGCAAATCATTTCCAATAGGTTTTGTATTGATTTGAATAGTTTATTTTTTGTTTGTAACCATTTTTCAATAGGAAACATGCTCTTTATGTTGTATGTTAGTGTTGTGTTGAAGCTCTGTTATCACTAATAAATGTTAAAGAACGAGACAGCTATATCAAACTGATTCTTTTGTCTTCAGTTATTATGTAAGGTTATCATGAGCCCACTTCTGGTCAGTGGCATGGTTTGTTGTAATTCATCTTAATGAGTGATGTGCAGAGCAGCTGAATGCGTCAGGCTATGTAGCAGTCTTGTAGACACAGATTTAAATCACTTCTGGCAAATGATTTCCTTACATCCCATCTGTCTTGTCTCTTTTTAATTGACTGATTTGTTTACAGTATTGAAAGAATTCCTAAACGAAATCCGGCAGAAAATCTTTATTCTGTGCAACAACTCATTTACATTTCATTTATACAGTTTACAACCATCATTAGGCTTTCTTTGAGATTCCATCCTTAAAATGAATATGCTTTGGAAGCTTTGACTAATAGGGTTCATTATAGTTACACAGTGATTAGCTTAGCCTTGCTGTGGTCATGAGTTTGATTCCCAACAGGATGTTATCTACATGTTTTTGTATTTTTCCCTGTGTTTGCATGAGTTTCTCTAGTTTCTTCTAACTCACTGGTTGGGTAACTGCAATGTACCTAAAGAACTTCAAAGAGTACTTTTTGCATCCTTATTAACCACTTGCCGCCCGCCCATTGTAAAAAAAACAGACGGACGGACGGCACTGCAGCATTGGTGGGTTGCCGTCTCCAGACGGCATTTTTTTCTGCTCGCGCGCGCCCCCAGCGGGCACGCACGGGCAGAAAAGACCCGACCAATGCAAACACACGTTACCGGGTGTTTCACATATAGACGATGGGCGGCTCCATAGCCCGCCGATCGTCTATAAGTGCTCGTTTTTTCGCAGCCCCCCCCCAGATCTCTGCTTCATCAGCTTCTATTGGGGTCCACAGGTGACATTAGGGGTCCTAGAGACCCCTAATGTCTCCATTCCACCTGTCAGTGAGCCTTTGCTATTATATAGGGGGATTGTTATCCCCCTATATAATAGCAATAACAATAAGTGCAAAAAAATATATATATAAATAAAATAAAAAAGTCACATATAAAAAAGTAAAATAAAATAAGTCACATATAAAAAAAGTGAATCACACACCTCATAGTTCTAGCCGACTTGTGACAATGAAACTGTCACAGGTCGGCTCAGTAGATTGGGAAGTGAGCGAACACATACCGGCGTTCGCTCACTTCTCGATCCTGTCACAGTTCTCTGCCGTGACAGGGGAGGGACTGAATTTCCCCCTCCCCGCTCTGATCCTCCAGCGCTGACTGGCACAACGGACGGGGGAGGGGGCGGGTGCAGCTGGCACTGCCTCTAGATAAGCAGAGCCAGCAGTCACTCGCGCAGCTGGGCGGATCCAGACATAATTGTCGGTATCCGCTGCGGCGTCTCGGTAAACCGCGAACTGTAGCTCGCGGTATACTGAGCTTAGGGTGACAGGAGGTGTCCTCCCGTTTGTGTCCTCCCGTTACCCTAAGGAGAACTATGGGGAAAGCCCTAACCCCATAGTTCTCCTTTAACCATAAAATAGCCCCAATGTGATCTAATACAAATAACCCTTTTTGTAAAAAAGAGGATCCTAACTCTGATACTGTTTACAACAAAAAGTCAGGCAGAGAGAAAAAGGCTAGTCACTATTCTAACCTGTTGTCTCCATGCAGCTGATTTTTTCCCATTATTGACTTACGATGTCTTGTTCTGTACAATCTCTGTGTGGAGGTGGCCATCTTGGTAAAGGCAGAACTTTCCCATGTCAAAGCCTTCAGCAAGAACAACAGTGAGCGTCACAGTGGTGACAACACCAAATGTTATCTCCTAATCTGGTGAGAGTAGCAAACAGATCCAGCAATGCCTTAGATTTCACACTGCAGATATACACCAATGAGGCAGTAGACACATGGCATGCCTAGGCACACTAACATACCAGAAAGTAGACTGCAATTTCCAGGAGGTATTCCAGACAAGAGTTAAATTTTTCAGTATACTGATTAGGCACAAATAACCTTTCTAAATTGTCCCTATAACATAATACATCTTCACTTTTTGAGTTCAGCTGCACATTAATGGTATTGTTTTGGCCCTAACACTCATGCACAGTACATGTGGAAAAATGAGAAAACAAATTAAAGCCTGCATTTTAACAGGAACCAAAAAGCTTAGACCCCATTCACACTGAGCGACATGCAAATCGCGCGACTTTGAGCGACGTGTCGCGCGACATCTTCCTATTGGGCTGTATGCAATCAGGAGCAATATCGCTCAAAATCGCTCTAAAAAAGGGTCATGTAGAAGCGACAAGCTACCAGCGACGAGCTACAAGCGATATTGAGCGATATTGAGCGATATTGAGCGACATTGAGCGACGAGATGTGAACAGCTACATTGAATTGTATTGGTGAAGCTACATAGAGCGATATAGTGCGGAAATATGAGCGATATCGCTACAAAAATCGCGCGATAAATCGCTCAATGTGAACGGGGCCTGAGCCGTTGGGTCTAATCAACGTTCCTTTTTCTACTGTAATGACAGAAACAAAATCCATCATGTTTCTTAGATTTTTCTTGTTTCTTATATGAACAAACAAAAGTTTAACCGTTAATTTGATTTTCATTTGGGGAAAAATCGTACATATTGTAAAATGCGTGTGTTGGGCACAAAAGAAACCTTTTTAATGTGTCTAGGATTCCATTCATTAGCCAGTCTGGGCCAAATTGTTAGGGGTTCAGAACAAAATCAGATGACTCAGTGATGGCAATATCAAATGCTCTGACAGATGATTGCAAATGAACATTCAAACAAAATTCTAACCTAACCTGTGGCTAGCCAACACAAGACAACAAGTTATTCTAGGTATCTGGTTTGCAACATGGTTTGGAATATAAAATTTGCATATTACAAACCCTTCCTTTATATTTAGGAATATTAAAAAGTGATGTCAGCAGAAACTATACAAAAAAGTCCAAAGCTGTTGTATTTAGATTAGATACAGTACCTTAGATTGTATTCTTCTCCAGTAGACAGCATGGTGTTTACACTTACTTTGTAAAACCAGGCAGAATATGTTATCACTATATAAATTATTTTTTTAAAAATCATGCTAATGCTGTCCTACCTAAAGAGGAAACTGGCCAAATATGGTCCCGTGACTAAGTATGGTAAATCTGGAAAATTGAGGTTGTAAAATTTGGAAAGACAGAGTAAAATGCTCTTTGCTAATAATAGCATGCACACTGTTAAAAAAACACATTGGAGGGTAAAATATTTCCATTACTCTGGAAGAGTTGGATTTGTAAGTAGAGCTTTAGAAGTCTTCACTGTACAACAAATTGAGCCAAACCTTTAAGATGCATAACAGCAGTGAGAAAAACTAAATGTGAAATATCTAAATATCGGTTTTGTTAATTTGTATTTTTCTCTTTTTGTTACTTTACCCAACTTCCAGAGTAGCATTTGGCAACTGTAATGGTATTGCAATGGTAGATTATATGCAGAAGACAGTTCTGTTGAATCTTGGTACAATTGAACTATATGGCTCAAATGACCCATACCAGAGGCAACCACGCTCTCCACGCAAAACACGGCAACCCTCAGGAGGTAAGAAGGTTTAACATTTTGTGCATAAAGTTATCAATAAGTATAATATTATATAGGTGTGCCTACAGGAAAATCTCATATTCGGTGTGTTTCGATCTTATTGTCAGTTGTTTCACCATTTCTTGCATCCAGCTGTGCATTTTTTTGAGGCAAGTTGAGCATTTTACTTTAGACATTGTCATGTAAGGATCTAAAGGTAGTGGATTACTTCCCATGCTGCCTTTCACTAATTACACTGTCTGCTAGAGAAAGGAGTTAGTCGAGATTTGTTGCAAAAATGGCCTTTGTCTTATAGCAGGCATGTCAAGCTGGTGTTTTTGGTGCTGCATGTTGCCCTTCTTTTTGCTCCCTTGTGGTTTAATATTAAAAATAAATGAGTCCCCAGGGGTTCTCCAGTTGATGCTTAACCACTTGAGTCCCCCACTGAGGACAGTGTGTTTTTACCCTAATAGTTACACAGTGTAAATTGTTTTCTTGGAGGATGGCTGGTAAGTGTGCTGGGAATTTTTTGTTTGTACTGTCTAAGCTCACTCCCATGATGGACTACAAGCTCATGGTTAGTTAGCTAATTTGCTTTGAAGTTATGGTCACAGGCACAAGCTTGGAGTGGTGTCTAGTTTACAACACACACAGGGACCATGGGAACAAAAGTAACCACCCTCCAGAAGGAAGCACAGTGTCAGTATGAATTCAGAGATGATTTGAGGATCTACAGCTGAGTAATACACAAATAAGCTACATTTTTGTTAATAGTTAAGGTACTTGAATCAGCGGATCCGATCAGCAGGGATCTCCAGTGACATAATTTACCATATATGGACTTTCCGATTTGTAGTAAATGCTGAAAGAGAGAGAGCTCCTTCCCCTCTGTCATCAGCGATCCACGATCGTTTTGGTATGTCAGTGTCAGCAGGGAGAGAGAGAGAGGGGGGGGAAGGAGCTGGCACACGGGGACGTGCAGGTAAGGAGAGAGCTGCTGCACATGTCCATATATTCGTGGACGCTCAGCAGCTCTCAAGAATCACTGTCAATCATCAGTGGGGAGGATCCCGTCAGATACGTCGGGATGTCTTCTCATTGCGGCGCTTAGCCCCGCCCACCACCGAAAAAAATAAAGTTTTACAGCCTTACTGTGCATTTTGGCTAATTACAGTAAATTACATTATTTACTTATTTAGCCTAAGGAATGCATTCATAAAAAAAAGATAGAACCCCATAGTTCTCCTTTTAGTAGACAATTTCCATAGAGTGAAGCATGCAGTGCTGAAAAAGGGGAGAGCTGGTGCACAGTAAAGTAAAGTTGCTAATTTCAGTGCTAGTGTTGAAAAGACAACGTAAGATCCTCTAATGTAGTTCTGGTTGTTGCCGTTAATTGAAATTCCACAGTCACGCGTAAAGAAGCATTTTTTTTCTTACTCTGCAAATTCTCATGTATGATTGTGTTCCATTCACACCATTTTAATTTGAAATAAATGTGTTCATACATACTGCTATTGATAACTTCATTTAAAAAGTAATATACAGAACTGTGCAAAGGTCTTTGGCACTTGTAAAAACAAAATGTTGTAATGCAAAAATGCTTTTTAAATATAATGCCATAGATTTTTTTTTTTATAAATCAGTAAACCCCCTAGAAAATGTGGTAAATGGGGAAAAAACATAAACTAATTCAATATTCGGTGCGTCCTTTTGCCTCAAAAATTGCAGGTGCACTTGCATATAGTTTCTGAAGATACTCAGCATTATTTCATAAGAGTTCAGCAATGCTTCTTCATTTGCTACAGTAGAAGTGTTTCATTGTGGGAACATCCACCAATGTATGTGTACCAAGTGGAAGGTATAATAACTCTGCAGGTATGATAATACAAATGTGGACACATTTTGGGGACTTTTACAGCTTATTGAAACGTGATTACATTAAAAGCAAGTGTCTCATGTACCTGCTTTCATTTGGTATATCATAGAGTAAAGCAAAGAAAGTGTGTAGAGAGATAAACGATGGCCTGGATAGATTTGTTGGAACCCCTAGAAAAGATTACAAATAATAGCATTGTAGTCTGCTGGATACTGGATGATTAGTATCACACATCTTCAGTATTGTAATAATTCAGTCAGCCTGTTTAAATGGAGAAAATTAGTCACTCTGCTGTTTGCTATCATTGTGAGCACCACACTGAACATGGACCAGAGAAACCTTCTCCACTGCACACCATAAATAAATACCCCTTCTACCAGGTTCCTATTGTGCTAGATCAATTGGTGGATGTCACTACAGCATACAGTGTAAGAGATGTTGTTCGCACACTAGTCAACTTCAGACAATCACTTGGCTACGAACAAAACCTTGGACTATTCTGAAGTAGGGCTGCAGCTAACGATTATTTTCATAATAGATTAGTTAGCCGATTATTAAGTTCGATATATACCAGATATGATCATGGAATAACAAAAAATCAGTATGGGAGTAGGCGGGTGTCCCTGTGCTCCCATCCACCCCCTGACCTTTTTTGCACACAAAAATGAGACCAAGCTGCTGCTGCTTAGTCATTTGTTTTTGTCTGCTCTCAAGACAGCTTTACCACCATTATTTGACAGAGCTGAGGCTGACCACAGGAGCAGTTACGCAGGAGAGCTGGGCACAGACAAGAAAGTGTCAGTGTTTATTATTCCCTACTGCTGCAAGGCTTCATTTAAAAAGTGGAGGCTACTGATGGGATCCTTTTTAAGAACATCAAATATTATTTTGCAAAAGTCATGTAAGAAACTGTAACATGTATATTTTTTATTTTACACACTAATTCGAAAAGACGATAAAAGAATCAAGACAGACATATTTTTGTATACTACATTTAAAGTGCCTACAATTTTGCACAGTAATGTAAATACAGATATGCATCATCTGTCATGCTTGCTATTCCATTTGCGTTAGCCAAACAGTGAGTTATTAATTTTTTGGGGGGTTTTTTATATAAAAAGGTGATTTTAAAGTTAAGGAGTTAAATCTTAAAAAATGCATGCAAATACCTTCACTAGTAACAAAAATGTATCTTATTTGTGTATCACTCAGCTGTAGATCCTCAAATCATCTCTGAATTCATGATGACGCTGTCCTTCCTTCTAAAGGGTGGCTACTTTTGTTCCCCATGGCACCTGTGTGTGTTGTAAAGCTCCAAGCTCACTCTCATGATGGACTACAATCTTAATAAAAATGAGTGGACTAATGTGAGATTGTAGTCCACCACAGGAGCGAGCTTGGAGCGGTGGCTACTCTACAACACACACACACGGGGGACCACAGGGAACAAAAGTAGCCACCCTCCAGAAAGGAAATGCAGAGTGATGCACAAATAAGATGCAATTTTGTTAATGGTTAGGGTACATGAATGTATTTTTAAGATTAAACTCCTTTAGTGTCACTCAGTTTAGTGTCACTTTAATAGCACCAGAATTCTGCTGTAGATAAAAAATGTTTTGTTAAGGAAATATGAATAGGGTGCATAAGCATAGTAAATGGATATTTAAAGTGAGAATAGTTTAGGAATATGTTTGTTTTCCGCAATGAGAACTCAAACAAATGTAAAATACTGTGTACCCCAATATTTCCTGATGCTTAACCTCATTGTAAACCGTACCCCCAATACCCAACAGCCTTCTCACCCATACCCTAAGACCCCTTTAACCATAGCGTTCTGTTACCATACACACATTTAGACACATTGGGGTTGATTTACTAACCTTATGAACACGCCACGAACATGTATACACCTTTGTAGTGTGTACACACCCAGCAGGTGTGTTGTGCAAAGCCCTGCATGAATTACAAGGTGATGTTGTGTAAATTAGCTCTACATTGTGTTGCTTGCGTTGATGAATGCAGGAATGTAAATGCATGAGCTAACCATTTTTGTCTAAACTGTGAAGCAGCATTATATATGCATCATGTGCATGATTTTTCCATATATGGCATTAGTGGAAATATGCTTTTAGAGACTTTTTTTGGTTGATAAATACGTTTTGCTGTGTAAAAATCACACGCACCTAGTGCGTGCGTGTGTTTAGGTTAGTAAATCACCCCCATTGAGTTAAGGCAGCTTCTCATTTTGAATGGTCTGCCAGTTTACCTTAACGCAGCATAAACTGGACCTACAGCACATTTGTAATGCATACTTACATTGAGCATATCTTAATGTAATTCTTTCAGCATCTACTGTACTTGTGCAATGCACAGAATGGAGTGTGTTACCACGTGTTGCATGTTCTGTTAAATCGCATTTTACTATGTTAGCACAATGCAAAGTTGTAAACGGGGCCTAAGGACACATGCCTGATGCCTTTTTTTTATTTTACACAATCAAAATTTTCATTTTTTTGGTGGTGACTAAATGTAGTATAAAAGGTCTTATACTGCCTTTTGATTTAACAAAGCAATGTTTATATAAGGATTGGGCAGTTTAGGACTATTGGAAGGGAGCAATAATAAACACTTCAGCTAAAGCACATATTGCTTACAGTGATTTTGACATTGTGAAATATTCTCTCACAGTTGTTGTGATGTCAACAGGTGACACTCTTCAATGAGTTGCACTTTGATGCCAATAGCAGGTTTGAAGGGACTCTGCTGTGAGGCTCAGTACAGATCAGTGATGCAGGAAGCAGACAGTTGGGCACTGTGTAGTGTGTTGTTCTGCGCTGAGCAGGATACACAGCAGGAGCCAACCTTAGATTTTGCTGTCTTAGACAATCTGAAGAAAGTCTGTAAAAGCCATAATATATATGTCTGTTTCCATCAATGGACTCTATGAAACCTAACATGTACATTTTAGTCATTGATGTGAACCAAAATCACTGACCATTAAACTACAAATTGAAATTCTGGGTTTAATAGACTTAAATCAGTCTGCTGCATTCATGTGGAGATATTTTACCAGTACCTTGAAAAGAATTACAATAGCGGTGTATGAACTCATTTGTGATTCTGTTTCATTGCTTGAAGAGGAAGA